CAATTAAGGATGTACTCACACTATATCACCAGCGATGTTCCTAAACTATGTATTCTTAATAACACCAAAAGCCCTACTCTTTTCAATCACGCTCAACAGTCCTTCACTCTTTCAATCCCCTCTTTCCTAACTATTCATGCGCCTATTTTTCTCATTACAAACAGTACAAAGCCGCTAGTCTGCGAGCAGGCCTTCGTTATCAGTGCAGCTGCAAAACGCACGTTTCTCCGCCCGCGGGAGGATTTGAGACGAGTAGGGGTCTGGCACTAATGATTATCAGCACCAGATCTCTTGCAGATCTCTTGCAGACCTCTCATTGCTCAATGCTTCATACTTGAAGGCTTGTTCCCAAGCGCTGATAATGAGGACCTGCCCACAAGCCATGGAGCTTCGAAATAAGTGATATATTGATAGAAAAACTCACTAATAACGTCACTTTTTCCTGAAAGTGACGTGACGTCTGGACATGTGTTTACAAGACTAACCAGTCCCAGGAGCCCATTACCCTGCCAGTCCTTAAGAATGGATCTGGGATAACACTCGACATAGTGCATATACATATTATCCCGTAACGTTCCAATTCCCGATGTTTTTTTAACCAAAAATACTGTAAATAATAGCGATATAAGAGGAAATGAGTGAACTATTTATCAGAGAAGCAGTCTTAAAGTGAGAGATACGTGTCAGCCTTTTCAATTCAGTTTGTTTCTTTTGTAGTTGCTATTTGAATGCATGCAATCCAAGGTATTTTTAATATTACAGTATAAGCATTTTTCGTTTGTTTAGTTCCTCTTCTCCCTATAGGGACTCACTCAATTCCAGCCATTGTTTCAGTCCCTGCGTCTCGTCACGTCAAATGACGTTTCATGATGTTTAACATAACTGACATAAGATGCCCGTCTTAGGCGACACAGGTGGTTTTGTGATATTTGCTTTTGCAAGTATCGCATTCAACATTGCAACACCACACAAACCTGCAGCGGCATTTATCTTCCTTAACCACCTGAACTGTTTGATATTTCAATTTACAAGCGTTACAGAGGGAGTGACACTTCTTTACGGTGGTGCCTCCATCACTGCGACATATTCTTCCCAACATTCCTGGGGAGCCCAGCGTTTTGTTAGGTACGCAGTAATCTGGCGAAGGATCGAGGTAAACCAGCTTTTTCTCTCTCTTTTTCGCTGACAATTTGTTTTTGCCTCGCTCTTGAAGCTTGCTATTTGCGTACCACACTCGCAAAGCATTTTTATATTTTAATTTCAACTTTTCCCCAATGACTTCAAAGGCCTCCATTTGCCTCCAACAAATCTTTGCCGTACAACTTCCTGAAAGTCCATTGCATTTGCACACTTTCTTTCGACTCAAGCGAACAACCTAACATAGGGAAAAGTTGGTACATGTTCAAGAAATAAAACTACATTTAAACACTTGAATCATTATGAGAATTAATTGGATTAAAGATTGCTTTCGAGTGAAACCTAAATATCTGCTGCAAGGACTGCAAGGGTCAATCATGTTCATGCTACAAAATAGTTCAACACCTGACGAGAAAAATTCCACATTAAATTTCACGTGAGAAACCGATATCGCACGAATCTCGAAGCGATACTGAGAGAACAGCTGCGATACAATCGAGGACAACTGTTCGACGTGACTTGGCCTTGTTCGCACGGTGCTGTAGCGAAAAGAAAGCAACAACGCTTTAAAAACAAGTTATTATCTGAATGCACATGGTAATGAACTGCAATTAGAGGCAATTCCAAACGTTTGAGAATTTGCCAACGTCAAATGCAGAGTTTTCGATCATTTACAAGCGGCTGCTGATTGCATATTGGGCGGCTATGCCCGGACACGAGAACGCTTTCATGAAACCCCTGCACATGTATAACACGTAACTAAGAACACTCGTAAAACCTTTCGGCAACAGCAACAAGAACAACAACAGAAAAGTGATTGAGGGCCAGGGTTTCAAGATATCTAGTGACAGTCCAGCAGATGGGAGTCGTTCAGTAAAATTAACCAAAGCTCTGAGAAGAGAGACTGTGCAGCGAGCTTCACCCCTAATATCAGTATACATGTTTTCAAAACTTGTCTCTACACATTACCTATGGTGCCGATAAGCCGAGAATCTGTTAAGCAGACAAAAGCTTCTTAGTTAGTGGTGATTTTTCTTCATTCTCGTGACCTTAATGTGTGGTTCAGGGGTGATATTGTCAGGAGATTTAGAAGCTGGTTACGTTCAGGATTCAAAGAGTTAAGAAACCTGACATAAGCAAAGCAGGTGACGTTACCTTTCTTCCGACTTCAGAGTTGTGAAAATGAAAAGCCTTCCGCGCATTGTTTCCGTTCCTATAGACGCTCATAAATCTCCTGGCCTCCTTCTCTCCAAACTTGACGTTGTCACCACAACCGCTCCATTGAAATTCTTCGTTGCCATCGTTTTCTGTTTTCAGCTCGCACCCACATCCGGGTATTCTGCTACGTTGGCACTGTTGGGCGACCTCATTTATAACAGCAGCTGTACTGATGGCGATTATGAACCCAAACTCCCGTGTCGCTTTAATGAAATGGCAAAGATAAATACCCCTTACTAACCTCTACTTTTTCGCTCGAATGTTTGACCCGCGTTTTTGCGATGGACTAGCATTAGGCTTGAGTAGAGACTTGTATGACCCGCGTGATTCGCGCTTAGGCCTTACAACCGCGCGGAATAAAAAAGGTTCAGACCTTTAACTCACTGTACGGAGCGAGTAAACGAGGTTAGTTAGATTATTTCTCTGGGTTCAAATAGAGGGGGAAGATATCAATTCAAACAAAATTTTGAATTTAGTGGGCTGTGCAGTGAAATACGGCCCGTTAGTTGACCAATCGTAGCGCACGTACTTACAGCACTGAGGAATCTAGTAATGGGGAATGAATGTTGTTTTGAATCCCACGACGACAGGAAGTTGTTACTAGAGAGCCAGAAACTTAATTTGCTTTGTCATCATGATAGCGAGGCGTAGAATGATGTCCTAGTTTATCATGAAGATAAATAGTCAGGAAGCATTCGCTAGTTATTCCTGTTTTTTCGTTTTGGCTGGTTGTTGTTGTTGCTGTTCTAGTGTTTTATTTTGTAAGTTTTTCTTTCGTCGTTGCGGTTGACAGTTTCGTCCTTTTTGCGTCATTCAGTTGTCGTGTATTAATTGTGTGTTTATGTGTTCGTTTTCTTTGTAAATTGATGTTGTTGTTTACATAGTGCCTGCTTTAATCACCTAAGAAGAAGCATGGGTAAATTTAAAGCTTCTTTTACAATACACTCTTTCAAGCCTTTGCTCCCCTCTTATATTCTTTTGAACCCCCAGCAGGCCTTCATTACTAGTGCTTTGGTACGGTGACGATTCTACGCCCGCGGGAAAGTATAAGTCCTTTAGCAAAGCGTACCGGCGAGAGGTCTGCAAAGTGCCAGAGTTAGTGCCAGACCCCGACAAACCTTTCCCGGACTCGTCCTAAATCTTTCCGCCAGCGGAGAAACGCGCGTCTTAAGGAGTGCCTGCTCGCGGGCTATTGATGTTTTCACGTGGGTATATCTATATATATATGTATTCTTTTTTTAATGACACTTTTTGGACTAACTGCTTTCTTCTCGAAATTCGCCACTAAGCATTTTCATAGCGAGGCTTGGGGGTGAAATTGACTTTTGTGGCGTAAGCCTACCGTCACGGAATACACTTACCATAAGGAATGGTTGGTTTGACAAAACTGGGCAACTCCTTTATCATGTCTCTGTTATCAATGGTACAATTCCAAATATCGTTCTTGAATAATTTTCGACATTCTTCCATGGCACGATATCCCCCTGCTTTAATGATGCTTGTAAGATTCGGATAGGTCTAAAAGAGAATTCAAATAATGAAGCGAAAACTGAAATGAAATGAACTGCCGAAACATGACCGGTGAGTCGTTGTGACCAATTTTTGATTATCTTCTCTTTACATTATGGTCAACGGTCTAGTGCAAAAGAATTGCGGTTGCATCTTCTAATCTCTACATTCATTCTTCCTCCTTACGTTTCGCTCCAAGACAACCACAAAATTTTCGTCCCGTCACCAAGATCATTCAACAAGATCCTTTTCTAAAAATAGCTCGGTAAACTCGAAAACACCAACCCTGCTTACGACAAAAGTCTTGGTTGCATTGTTAACGCCTCTTAAGATCTAATTTTGGTCGATTCAGTAAAATAGCATTAACTGATACAAAGCTGGATTAGTCGGCCCTTTTAACTTTGTTGTGGTTTTGAAAGATCTATTATCTCTTCCGTACAATTACCCATTTATTACTAAACTGAAATCAGTGGTTAAGAAACATTAACGGTTTAACCAAGGCGGATTTAATTTCTATTTAGCAGCTTGAGATACTTTTGGACCCCCGTATCTTTAAGCACACCATATTTCCGCTCAAATAAAAAAAAGAAAAAAGAAAACAAAAACAAAGAAAAAAAAAGGGACCTAAGACCCCGTGTGGGGATGTAAAAACAAATTAAGCGTCAAAGCTGTGAAAACTAAGATTAAACAAGCTGCCTTAATTAAATCTCTGTGATATCTTAAATCTGGCCAATACTACATTGTGACGTAGATAAATGTAACCGAATTAAAAAAAACTCTAACAAATCGCGGATGAGCTTAATGATTTAGCTTCCTATTGATTTGGCTTGAAGATACGCCGAGCTCGGAAGAGAAAGTTGCCAGAAGAAATTATCTTTACTGACTAAGCAACACCTTTGATGTGTTTTGTCAATTTAGTTGGCCGACGAGCAGCCCCTGATAAAAAGGTAACACTAGTTCAGGAACAGTTGAAACCATTTTGGTGGAATACTCTAGAACAAAACTCAAAAGATAAAATAATCTTTTTTGAAGTGCTTATCCATCATCTCCAAAGGCGGGGAATACTAATTTGAGGACCCCATCTAATAATTCGACAGGAGTTTTGACGGTTTTATATAACAAGGAGAAAAACATCTCAGTAGTGAGGAAAAACATGAAGAACATGTTGTGTGTTGCGTAACCAATAGAAATGATATGACGACTGCTTGCTTATCTGCTTGGATGATTTTTTGGGACCGCTTTGTATTTTGGTCAGTTTTATGCAAGGTTATATTAAACTAGCACTTGATTAGACCGCCAGTCAGTAAACATATGTTCAGTCCCCCATCATATTAGGGTTGCTCATTAGCGCTGTCTAAAATCATATAGTCACGAGGAAAGTAGTCCCAGAAAAGTAATAATGAAGAAAGTTATTTATTCTGATAAGTTCAACTTAATGAAAAAAGATATCGGATTAACTTGAGTTCAATCTAGAAACATCTGACAATGACACCCGGCCGTTTGATGTAACAAAAAATATCATTTATTTGGGGGAAGGAAGTTAATTTAATAAAAGAAAAAAATCCGTGATTTCGAGGGAAAAAATATACCAAAATGTGAAAAATTTCTGAAGCAAAGCACACACCTTTTCTTGGAGAAAATTCAACTCCACTATGTTTTTTTTGCCTCTGTGAAAAAAAAGACAGGAGAAAAAATCAAAGGCTGCAACATAACGATCATTAGCTATAGATTCAAGAGGGTAACTGGGGGGTGGAGGCATAATTTTTATATTTCAATTTAAAAATCAAATTTTGTAATTGGATTTGGTTTAGCTGTTAAGTGTTGGAACGGATCTTAGGTCAGCGTTAGATGGTTTTAGAGTGTTTATGATGATTTGCACGCCTCCTGTGTGTCATTAATGCCAGGATTATTATATTTTTGCTCATGCAGATGACAAGTTATTCTCTTTCGGAAATGATGTACCGGGTAGGGAGCGCTAAAATTAAGAGGAATGGGACAAATTTCAGCAATTCAGCTTCCAAAAACACGTACGTGTCAACAAATTGTTAAATCTAATTTACAACTTTAAATCCTGTTTGTGGACGGGGGTTTCGTCATATTAATGTAGTTCTTTTAGCTGAGATAACAAAACAAACTGTGAGCTTGACAGAGAAAACAACATGTGTCGTCAAAACTAGCTGAGCTGTAACTCTATAGGACTAATAGTGTAGGATATAAAGCTTAGGACATACGTGTCGGGCAAAAAAAGCTTTCACGAGAAACTCTTCTCTCGTATAAATTTATCAAAACAGATGGCTGGTCATTCTTTTTTTTGTTTTTCAACCATTCATTTCTTTGCCTTATTAGTTCACCGATAAAAAATGTGAAGCAGGGAATTTCCCTCGAACGTCTTTGATTGAGTAGGCAAGATATCTTTCCTAGTAGAAATTTACCCATCATATTAGGTGAGAAAAGGCTGATAGTTTCTAAAGAAACTGTTTGGGGCTGCTTCGGTGGGGGTAACGAAATAATTTGGATATATCAACAAAGTTGAAATGGTAAATTGGCCACCGTTACGATTACAAAAGCTGACGTTTCGAGCGTTAGCCCTTCCTTGGAGCGAATGTTTTTTTAGGTGAGACATTGCAAGCCTGCCAATAAAATTTATCTCCTTCACTGCAAGCTCTGGATAGGCTAACAAACTTGTGCCTTGGTTCTCAGCTTAGGAAAAGCAAATTGTAAGAAAAAAGTTCTGAGGCGAAGGTCACGTACTTGTTTAGTGCATAATACTCGGATTATAATGTTTTCTCCTGTGGCAACAATTTGAAGCTACTGGCTGCCTTAAAAGAGACTACAATCAACAGAACATAAGAGAGGGACGAGTGCGTTTTAAAGTTCGCTTACCTTGAGCCGTATTCAATCTCCGCGCTGACTACTATCGCAGCCAGAATCACCGAACACAGTCCTAGCAGTTTCGAAGCCATTAGCCCTGTTTATAAGACTCGCGCAGCACTTGAAGATTTGGGGTCATGGATAAATGCCTTCGTTGTTTTCACGTACCAAAGCTTTAAAGGGATAAAAAGAATTAATCCGTTATTGAATAACTACGTAGTTTCCGGTGACTACCAGAATAATCAGTGTTGTATTGCCCCCGTATTTGTAACACAAGAGAGTTTTCTCACCCGATCAGGATTCACTATCATTAAGGCATAAAGTAGGCTTCTCTGAAATATCATTGAGAGGTTTATTTTTCTGTTAGACCTATTGTTTAAAGTATTTGGATTATCGAATGTATGAAAGGACTCTGAAGATTACTTAACCTTGGGTCCTCATTCAAGTCCACCCAAAACCAATTAATTTGAAAATACCCACCCACTTGAGAGGAGAGAGTTTCTTCAATGAACGCGGTGGGGAAGAGATCGTGCTACGCATGCTCATTGGAATCAGTCTTTTGGAAAATACTTATATTTTACGTGTTACATTTCACTTGGGATCTCGTATTTTCCTGCTTAGAATAGATGAATAAGAAGTTAGTATAATTTGGTTTCTTCTTCATCATAATCAATCGAAGTGATTTTACTCAAACGAACTTACAGTAGCTGAGGATTAATTTGAAATCTATCAGCTCGAGATGGAACAGCACATATGTTACACGCTTTCCAGGCTCTTGTGTAAGAATGTCGGAAATGACCAAATTTGGATGAAATCACTCTGAAATTGAGCCCCGAAGTAAAATTTCCTTGTAAACTTATTCGACGGTTCTTTTTAGAACCTCATTAGCGATGGGCATTCCACTGCATTTGAATAATCGCTAAGTGGTAGGTTGAGTCTCAGCAAAATCTTTCAGTAGCTTCCAGGGTCGCTATTCATCAGTAATTACGTACGTGTACTTCTGGTTTACCGCGTTGCAAGATTACTCTAATCCGGATCTTTAGTTCAACCAATCTCAGCGCGCTATGTTCTATCTTTTTATTCCGCATTTGTAAAAAACGTGACCACTTTCACTTCTTCTCTACATGTGAACATGACAAACAATATTGTGACGTTAAAGAGTACTTGCAAATCCGTGCAAAAAGTTCCTGTTACCCAAAACTAGAGAGACTTCCGGTAGATGATTAAAATTTGGCAGCTAAAACCATCAAACACTCGGAGAAAAAATCTTGCAAGTGCTTCCTTGCTTCATGGCAAGGCGTCAAGAATCAGGATTGCAAATAATCTACACTGAAGATTTGTCGAGACGGTAATGGAAATGTAACTTTCCAGGTCTGGTATGACTAATTGTACCTTAATATGGCGCCCTTTTTCAATATCTCTTTGTCGTTTTTTTCATTTTCCTTTTTTTATTCCTATGGTGCTAATTTCCTTTTTGTGTGAACGAAACATTTTTCGTTCAATATCTTTTGGTGAGGTAAAAATATCTGGCGCCTTTGAATAGTTGCAATTTGCAAGAGATCAAATGAAAATTCTGTGGAAGCAATAATCGGTGGGTACATTAAAAGCGTTCACTAAACTTAATCAAACAGAGAGTCCTTTACTCTGAGGGGCATTAAAAATTCGTTAAAGTGCTGTAATTTGAGGAATTAAGTTACTGTACCTATCTTGAGTGGCGTAAAAAGTATTGTTCCTCAGTAAAGTAAAGATATATACTGTACATTTGGTAGATAAGTAGTGAACAGTTCATCGTTACGCAAAATGGTTTTTTTTTGTCATTTTTTGTAGTTTTTTTTTTAAAACAAAATTTAATAATGGAAAAGAGTCATGCTACAGGACACGGCTTGGATTTGAACGGCAGATGATGACGTAATCTATGTGACTTTTGATAATCAGTACAACTTCTGTTTTCTTTCTGTCATCCATTTACATTTTTAGACAAATAATAACCGGCTTAAACTGAAATAAATCAAAAAATATCCAAATTATTTTAATCTTGTTGCACGCACGTGATTCGTGAGTGATTTGAAAAGTACTAGAAAACGCCATCTACTTTGAAAATGGAATGGATCTGAAATTGTCTACTCTTTTTTTTTTAATAAAGCCAAAGTGATCTACAGAGTTATGTTTTCCTCTGCACGGTGGATGGATCAACGCAGATTGGCAGTCACGAACTTCCCTGCAAAAGGATTACCTTGGCTAAAACTTAACGTCCATAAGTCATGATTCAAGTAAGCCCAAAGAGATATAGTACAGTCTTAGTTAACATGTTTTTTGTCAGTGAACCTGGTGGGAGAAAACTGTTTTTTCTCAGATTTTGTACGATTACCTTATGACAATAAAAGTGTATATTGGAAGTCTCTCCGGCTTGGTTTGTGTTTGACTAAGGTGTTCACTATAGATTTTTAAAGGATTAATATTTCGGTGCTGTTAATTGTCACGAGAACAGAATTGAGCACCGCGGAGGGTCTGTTTTAATCTGGCCAAAATAAAGATATCTTTTTACATGCATAGCGCAAATGGAAAATCTAACGTGATTTCAAGTTCAACTTTGCAAGCTAAATATAGTTCCCTCCCTTGAAAATTATTGAAAGTGAAAGAATGAATGAATGAAATAATCACTGCAGTTGCAAAAATAGATACTATCTACTAGCTCTCGACATTCCACTTGCCAAACCAGCTCCCTACTCAGAGCCCATGAAGGAGCAATCCAGCGGTGCGTTGACCTTTTCACGAAGAACAAACAGAGTTGTCTATCCGCATGTCTTACTTGCGTCACGTCTAAAGGTCGAAGTCAATTTTATCCGCACGTGTTTGAACTTGTCTGAGAAAGCCAGCCAGGGCCGGGTTGAAATCATTGTTACATAGCTTTGGTTGAGAGTACTCCTCCCTCATAGGGAGCAAGATTTGTTTTGGTGCTTTTCGCCCCAAGGGAGGGGAGGGGTACTCCTTATAATCAGCTATGGGGATACTCCAAGTAACGACTTCACTGGTTGATGAATAGAGAATGACATGAAAAACCCATGAAACATTCCCCCTCGCTATAGCTTCCGGATTTGCCGCTAAGCACATGCAGAGATAAATAAGTTACGCTTAAGAGATCATTATAACCTTAGAAACAGTCTAGAAATCGTAACACTAACGATCGTGTATAACACCATGCTTTCATTCAACGTAACAATTTACGAAGCAGTAATGAGGTGTGAGCTTATTTGCCTTTTACGTGAATCATAGAGAGGGAGATTCGTCGACTGAGGACTTTTTTACTACAGTTTGTGGACCCACAAATTTCACAACTATGAAAAAGCTATCACTTCCAATGATCAAAACCACAGGTCAGAACCTTTTGCATAGCACGTGTATCCCTAACATAGTAATTGGGTGCGCGGTGAAAGACAGACAAGGTTTTCCTCTAACATTAGATAACCTTCTCAACCCCCCCCCCTCTCCCTCTCTCACACACAGAAATGCAACGCTATGACCGAACGTTCAAAGATAAGGGTGCTCTATTCAAAGTCCGACATAATCCTCAAGTGAATTTTGCCACGTTTTAAGGGGAAGAAAAAAAAAATTTGAACAAATACCAAATAGTGACACTGCATGACCTACGTGCTGAATAACATGTACAAACCTTTTGCAAAACGAAATTTCCCAGCACAAGTCAGCTGTTGTTTGCTTTGAAATAGCAGTAATACTCGCCTCTTCGGTGTAAAAAAAACACCTTTGAATATCTTTTGCGAATTACAGTGATCTTCACGATGCCTCGCCTGCGACGGAATCTCTCGAGATATTTTCTCCTGCTGCTTTTATACTGAACAACTTAGGTACAGCTTAAGTCAGCACAATGATTTTGAATAATTTGTCTTATCTTGCGCATACGGAAACGAACCAGAATCGCCCTCAGCTTAATTAAAGCGAGTGTGCCGCTACTCGGGGCTTTAAAAGATGGCAAACACGGGACAGATCTTGACACTATATCGTTATCGATTATTAAAATCTGTAACACTACTCTTGACGGTCATTGGTTTCAAAGGGTTTAACTGGATTTGGTTTGCCTGCCAAGCGGCTCTGGTTACTTCAATGTCAAACAAGTTTACTCGTTTTGTTTTTTTTTTTTTCTTTCTGTCTCATAAGATTTATTTCGCTGTTTGTTTATTCTTTTAGCTGGGATTTAGATGGAAAATTTGTATAAATTCATTCACGCGGAGTTTTCCCAACTCATACTTCAAGTTCTTTTCTGTTGAAAGATTTCTCAGTTCTGTCGGGCTTATGTTATCACCAAGGTCGTTTACAGGTAGCATTTAGACACACCCAAAAATTAGAAACGATTAACTCGAGCCTAACTTCTGAAGTGCACTCAAGCGAAGCAGCTTAAATTAAGTTCGGCACGCAGCCATCGCTTGCTGATCGAAAGAAGCCGGAAAGATTATACTTGATTATACCAGTGGATAGACGGGGTCATTTTCCACCCAAATTGTCCGCATTTAGGCCATGCCATCATTAACAGCAATTTTCAGATGTCCATTTTAGTCCTTTTTTTTTTAATTCAAAAATAGAAGTATAGTTATGATGTCAATTCACAACATCATTCTATTTTCGTGGTCTAATTGGGGCTGTTACCGCAAAACACAACTATTCTATAGAGAGGCTTCATTCTTTAGAGAGACTCGCGATCATATCTTGGTCTAGCTTGAGCTCACAAAAGCATTTCACTTCATTTGCTTTTGCCACGGATGCGAGAATCGTTGAGGTAACTCCTTTTGTAAGCCGCATTCTTTATGAAATACGTCAGTGTACAATTTTTCTTTGTATACTATTATGTTGATGAACACCGATAGACACTCAATGAACTTGACATTACAGGAAGTAGGAGGCCAGTCATTATTTAGCACCCAGGGGCCGGGGGCAGGGGGCAGGAGGCCAGTCATTATTTAGCACCCAGGGGCCGCGGCCGGGGGCAGGAGGCCAGTCATTATTTAGCACCCAGGGGCCGGGGGCAGGGGGTTAGAAGATTTTGGTTGTGTCACGATCAAATTTACCTGATCCGCCTCGTAAGTTCTTTAATATTCTTATAGTTTCCCCTATTGGAATTTAACTAGCGGTCAATTTTCTTTAGTGCTCCCTTTATACTGTGCATCGCCAACTGTTTCGGTCACAACAATTCAGCGCGCCTTACGTGAAGCGCCTTTTACCGCTGTTCTTTTTCTTGTATCAACGGGCTCATATCGCCGCGAAGTGAGGTACAGAATATATTGTTTATATAACCAAGATTTTAACACATACCAAAGCCGCTGAGAAAAATAACTTGCTTGGGAAATGTAGTCCACAAAATTAGCTTTCAAACGAGAGTTTTTTCAAGAAATTTGGACGAAAGACAGACGAGATATCGTCATTCCAAAACAGGGAATTTTGCAGTTTTATCGTGGACTTCGGTTTGTTAATTTTCTACTGTTTTGCGGCCAAAAATTGAAGGGGCTGAAAAATCGCTCTGTGCTTCAAAATTTAAATTTTGAACCTGGAGAGGGTCTGCTACAGAGGTCCGGTCCGGCAAATAGAGCATCTAGCTCTAGAAATGATTTATGCCATGCTGATGCTTCGGATTCACACGTTTTCGCCACCTAAATTATAAGGTTTGTATGGAATATACCTTCGTTTTCGAGAGATAGTAAAAGGAAGGGTTTACTACACTCGTTTTATTGTTGTTTATTTTTTAACAGATTGTTTTTACTTGTAGTATCAATATCCCGGTCCGGCAAATTGAAAGAATATTTCATGATTGCGAATATTTACAATTTTTACGTGCCTTCCATACATTTCTCTATAAAATCGGCAGCCATGTTTACAGACATTTTGTTATGAAACCGCCTGCCTACCGCAGGCTCGTGACTGGAATTGTTGGCGATGTTGGTGACGACTGACCCCTCTCTGTTTCCTCTGAAAACCTAGTGATCCCACCGAAAATCCTCTTTGCACTCCCCCTCCCACTCACCCCACCCCGGTGATAAGATACAGTACAGCAGCCGCTCATTGGGAACACTTTATTTCAGTATAAGACTTCTCAGTGCATGTCTCACATTCAACCCTGCAGCACCAAGTAAACTTACATTTACATTTAACCCGCTTGTAATGCTCCACTGTTATTGGGTTCAGTCCACAAGAGTTACAGATGGCGGTGAATAACTCACACTTGTACTTGTCATCGCTTACATCTCTCCTGCACGACCTTCCCAGCATTCCAGTAGAGCCTATGCTGTCATTTCGCACGAAGTATCTTGGGGAGTCGTCGAGATACACAAGACTTTGTTTGATTGGGAAAGCTGGGCCCAACGACCGAAGTCTGTTGTTTATGAAGGACACCCGCAAAGCCATGTCGTATTTTTCTTTTAGCTTTGAGGAAACAACTTCAAATGGCGCCAATACCCTCCACATTGTTCTGATTAGGCAGGGATCGGAGTTGAAAGAAAATGGGCCATCACATCTTCCTCTCAGTTGCGAGCTTTCTCGGACAATCTGTCAACAAAAGTTAAAATACTTTTTAAAAAAGTCTAAATGATGTTTGGAAAAGTCACGATTTTTCGTTATCCCACATCCTGATAACCAAATTAAACGACGAGAAAAATGTCTAGACCTTGTAGAACTTGTTTCAACAGTTACTTCTCCAATATAACACCAAGATCTCGCTGCTGTGGTGCAACTGCAGGGGATTGGGGTACAGAAAAAGATTTTGCGTTCCCTGGTAAACAGAACGGATGTACATACTATCACCTACGTCCAAATATTCTAAAGACTCAGCGTTAACTCAGACTTTGTATAAGATGTTTAAAAATAATTTCTTTACGCCTGAAAACTCACCTCTGCTCCTACATAGTAGTTGTGAAGGTTAACAGTTGTCAAAGTATCCAGTGGAAAACTACCTTTTCGCAGTATTTTAAAAAAACGCATAGCCTCCTTTCGTCCGAACGCGACGTTTTCGCCACACCCACTTCCAGTTCCACATCCACATCCGGGGATTCTTCCCAATGTGCACTGACGAGTGAGTTCGTGGGTAATAGCGGCAGCGGTTATGGCATACATAAAAGCAGACTCACGAGTAGCTGTAAGAAAGAACAATGAAAAAAATTTGGTTACCCGTTTAAAGTAAGCTAAGAGTGGGATTCGAAATTCCTATTCTTCTAATACTCGTAAATCTGTCAGCAAACTGCTCAGTGCGTGACATTAACAAATCTGTGAAATCCTGGTGCTGGGTTCACGGTGTTCACCAATGCGATGGTAGCGCGGGAAGAAGAACCGGAAGGGTGTTTTCTGCTGCGTCATACTTACACGGTAGTAGCTAGGGCGAAAATAGGATTTTCAACGAATTAATGAGATATCCGGGCTTAAGTCGAGTAGGTCTTACCATAGGGATATGTTAAGTTGTTAAAGAAGGAAAGCATTTTAAACATCTCCAATGGACAGTTCCAGATCTCGTTTTCAAACAGCTTTTGGCATTCTTTTATTCCTCGAAGGACACCATCTCTCGTGATATTCGACAACAGGGGATCATCCTGGAAGAGATCATCAGGTTGGAGTGTATAAACAACAACGCAGCAAATACCATCTCAGTATATTAAGTGTTTTGTATCAGAATGACGGTGAAAATTTTGAGGTGTCATGGCCACAAAAGCACTATTGTAACCTAGCTTGCACTTAGTCCTCCCAATCCGTCCTCTCCAAGTGACGTTACCGCACAGCCTGCACTTAAACTTCTTTGAAGGGTCATAATTAAAGTTTGTTTTATGTTTTGCGTTATTTCTTTTTTTACCTCAGTTGAGGTCACAATGCCATCTAATTCATATATTAGCTGCCTTGAAGCCGAAATTAAATGAGCGTATTCAATAAAGAATGGCCCGGAAAGTCGAGCCCCTACTTTCTACTTCCTTCCTGACGAATATGTTCTAAGTAAAAAAGCAGAGAAAATTTTAAACATTGTGTTTTCTTTGTGATAGCTTTGCTGAACGAGTTTTTTCGACGGCCAGAATAAGCCCAGTGAAAAGTAAATGGGTTTTAACTTTTTAAACTGGCGGTGCTTTATTTCCGGAAACGATAGGACACATTTCATGCACAAGGGGCTGTTATCAATTTGTCGCTCTTAATGTGGTAATCATATTACTTTGAACTACTTTAGCTGGATTAAGCTGTGAGAAGTTCTTTTTTGTGAAGGGAGGACAGAGATGCGAGCAAATTGCACACCTGTAGTTGAGCAATCTTCAAATCACTTTCGGCTATACTGTTCCTGAAGACAAAAAATTCAAATTAGCCCTCACATATTTTCGATTATCTATTCTCTGTTGCTTTCTCATAAAAAAAGAAACAGCTTGTCTTTATAATAGTACATTGCGCAGATACTGTTTAACCCTCTCTTGAGCTCGGCCCCCGGACAATGTAATATCATAATACGTTTAGATGCACGGTAGGGCAGGGGGACCAATTGCCGGAGTGGCGGGGGAGGGGGGTTGTTACTCAAATGGATCAAGGGCGGTAACTTTGTGTTGGTATAATGATAATAATAATAATAATAATAATAATAATAATAATAGTAACAATAATAATAATAATAATAATAATAATAATTAGAATTTAAATAGCACAAACTACATAAATGTATGATCAAATGCGCTCTACAGAAAATGCAATGCAATATCATTGAACGCCAAATTATTAATTTCCGTTCCACCTATTGAAGCAAAAAGTAACTTCTTAGACAGAGCTTAAAACCTAAGACAACAAACTTAAGTTGCCAGATGGGATGTTAGCCAGTCAAATGGAAAATTTATCCCGAGCCCGCCAGGCTCATTCCTACGTAACATTACGATGAAGTTCATTTCCATCTGATGAGCATCGCGGGATTGCTTAAAGGCCCCGAACCTGAAGAGATTAACGAAAATGCAGTTGAGGGTTTTTCTTCAAAAGACCAGCGTATGTTGGAGACATAAACATCAATCTTATCATTCCCAATTTTCTTCGGTTTTCTACAGTCATTTAGGTAGTTAATAAGCCCTCAGTAATCAGACGAAGTTTCAAAGGAGGAAACACATGCACGAGAGCGGTGGTTTCCCTTCGCCCGAATAGGGATACCATACGACAGCTACTCGGCGACGGATATTCAACTCGCTTTGTTCTAAGTACGACAATAACCTAAATTGCCCTTAACAGGTAGTTTTTAATCGCACACTTACTCTGTTGTCCTCCGGGATGGCTTTACAGACTTTACATGAAATGGACTGGTATGTAATGTCAGCTGACTTCCACACGAATCTCCAAGATGCAACACCGACAAACCGACAATGATCGCAAGAAATAACGCGAAGAGTTTCATAGTTCTAACGAATCGATCGAAGTTTGACAGTGCCAGCAGAAAAAGTTGATAACATATTCAGTCCTGGCATGCGGATGAAATTATGCTCTCTAAAACAATACGTGCCCTTGTGGTTGAACCTTCAATCGCCTGAACAATGAGTTAATGAACCATCTGGGCTATTTGACCTCTTATTTCCCGTTTCAAATTTTTTAGACAAGGTTAACATCTTTGTATTGTGTACAAAGCGAATAAGTGATAAGTGATAAATTGTTGTAAAATTGTTGTAATTGTTATATACTATTTTAGTACGTTAAGCGTCTTGAATCGAAATGACTGTGAAACGATGGATGTTGAACAGGTTTATATTCACTGGAAAGGCAGCCTGAAAGCCAAAAAAGCACCATAGTAGCCTAACTACTACAAATCCCCCCTTCCGTCCCCTCTAAGTGACGGCAACTCACATCTCGCGCTTAAACATCCTTCAAACATCCCACTTTGCTTTGTATTGCCTGGTATGTTTACTATATGACTTCGGCAACTCTAACTTTATTCTGTTGAAGTAAGGTTTTGTTCTGTGAAGAAAGGACAGACATACGAAAACGTAACACACCTGTCGTTGAACAATCGTCAAATCACTCTCCGCTATGTTGGTCCTGAAGACAAAATATTCGTCTTATAATTTCGATTGCTTATTCTATGTTGCTTCCTCAGAAAGAATCCGGTATGTCTATATACTGGTACATTGTGCAGATACGGTAAAACTCTCTCTCCCGGCCCTCTCCTGGACAAGTTCATAATGAACGTAAAACCTTTTAGTGTACTGTGGGGTAGGGGGCCAAATTAGGGGTGGGGGGGGGATTGGGTCGCTCAAGAGATTTAAGGGAGGCAAGCCTTTGATAGTGTGATGATGGAAAATTTATGTAACTCGTTCAATTTCACTGATCACGAATATATTAATTTCCTTTAATTAATGCTGCAAAAAATACCTTTTTGGGTAGAACATCAAATCTCCCACAAAAACTTGACTTAACTTAACTTGCCTTAACACGTAGGCGGGAAATACATTGCGAGCTCATCGGGATTAAAGGGGAGATAACGATGAGGCTCACTGATCTCCTACTGATAAGCATCGTTTTCAGTAGAGGCGGCCTTAGACGAAAATCAGTTAAAACGCTCCGTACAAATTTGATAGGAATGCTTAAAGGGAACCGAAGGAGATAAACGGAAATGCGGTTAAAGGTATTTCAGGGCATGTAAGAGGCGTAAACATTAATCTAATGCTTGATTGTTTTTCTCCTTTGTAACAGATATCGTGCTGTCTCGAGGTGGTCCGCTTAGTGGCTAATAAGTGCTCAATGTGGGGAAAAAAGACATGCACGAGAACGAGGCTGGAAGAATATCTGCGATACATAAGTCTGATTTATTTTTGTACCGTGAATGCTGAACCAGAAACAGCATCGTCACGACTGAGAAAAATATACGGAAACCTTGTTTCCTGTAGGAATTGAATGAAAGTTATACTATTGTTTTTCAATAACACGAAACAGTCACACTCGGTTCAGGTAGTTCACGTGTACTACATTTTGCGTAAATATGGAAGATGTAAAGACGATGTCATCGACGTTTGCAAGCTACTAAGGTTAAAACGTATTTGGCTTGTTCTAAGTATCAAGACTGCAACCTAAATTGCCTACAACTGTAGACAAGTATGATCAAGTATCTTAAATCGTGGACTTACTCTGTTGTCTTCTGGGAAGGCTTTGCATGAAATGAACTGGTATGTAATGTCAGCCGACTTCCACACGACTCTGCAAGAGGTACAACCGACAAACCTAACATAATCACATGAAATAACGTAAAGAGCTTCATCGTCCTAACGCCGAATCGATGACGGTCTGACGATCGCTGCAGATAACAATACACTAAGTCCCGGTGATGAAAGGCAAAATTATGCTCGGTAAAACAATACGTGCTCTTGTGGTATCATCTTCCAGTTGAACAATAGGTTGATGATCATCCGGGTTATTTGACCTCTATAGATTCAATTTTTCTAGATACGATACCATCTTTACTTTGTGTATGTAGGAAATAAATTGGAAGCAGATGCATCAGCTCGTGTTTCTCCCAAGTCAGAATTTATCAGCCAACTTGCTAGTCATCCACCTTTTCCTCAACTAAGAACGAACATTGGGTAACAGTCACCATCAAAGGTCAATGTAGGGACCACTTTTATGATCTTACTGCCTCTGATAAAATAAAACTGAAATCGCTTAAAAGGATGGATACAAAAAAAAAACAAAAACAACTTTGTTCTTTCGTTTAAGCCAATCCTCCACAGTAGTTTGGATAAATCAGTCAACCGATAACATGTAATGTTGGAATGCTCTTCAAAGCCCACACAAAGCCGGCCTTTTAAGAACAGGAAAAGGAGGAGCTTGGAGAAAACGCTGACTCAGCTATCCTCAGTATTAACTGATGGTAAAAAAGAAGGGGTAATTTCTGGAGTGGAGCCAAGTGGCCCACCCGGCAGTAGCTGATATCGTTTTCCACAGCACGAAGCGACGGGAAGTAATACTACTCCCTGGCTCCGATCCCTAGATGGGGGTCCAGTCCATGGAAACATTAGCCCTTATTTCATCAGTCTTTTCTAATAATGCGAAGGGTTTTTCCTGAAAACACAGCACAAGAACCCTGAAAGGTCTCAAATTCCGACCTCTCGGACCTTTATTGGGAGAGAAAGTCCCTGAGTACGCGCATGCTGAACAGCTGAAGGCTGCATTCAACTGTTTCCGCCGCTGGTGATTATTCTACAGCAGACGGAAAACATTTTATATGTTTACTTAGGTGTAGATGTTGCGTGCTCTGAATGAAACGACGTCTTCAAGTTTATCTGGCATGCTTTGGACGGGGCGTCAAACAGTGACACACTTGATAGAATTTTTTCACGATAAAAGCTTTTTAAGATCATTTTAGGTAAAAGCTCCTCTATTTCACCCAAGCAGTTATGATCTTATGTCAAGTTGTTATTTCCAGTGTTTTTGGCCAATCAGAAAATACCATGACCATCTTTCCTGGTGACCAACAAGCATGAACAGACCGCCACTTGTCACTGATTCAGTTGTAGAAGATGAATGTATGTATGTAACTTCGCTTATCATCGCCATCGTTTGAACCGTTAGATCTATGGATCCAGCCTTATTTTTGTGTAAGTGAAAAACTTACGGCGATATTTTAATATCAATTAAAATTGACCGCAAATGAGATTAATATATGTATGTTGTGCCTTACAATATTCAGATTTCATTCTAATATTTTTACTTTCGAAAAAGAAGCGGCCTTTTAAAACATTTAGCGATAAAAATTTGCGATAAACATTTCGTAAAAGTATTTTAAAGATTTGTTGACGACGTTTCGACGTTTGGCTAACGTCATTATCAAGTCAGGGAATGAAAGATAACAAATCTTTAAATATACTAAAAAGACAATAGGAAATGGAATGTTCTTTGAACAAAGAGTTTTGCGCGAATGGATCAGTCTGCGTGCTAAGACTAAGATTCTGCTGCTTGATGAAAAGCATCTCGTAGACAAGACAGTCAAATTTTCCTTGGCTTATTTTTAGAATGTGGAATTGGCTTTCTTTGAGGAGGCTTGTATCCCCATCATACTGTCGAAAAGTGACGGTTTACTGATCACATAATTGCATAATTGACCTCTTGGCGTACAACTGAACTGGGCTCAAAAATATAACTAACATTTCGGGAGATAAAAATGGATTCAATTTTACTTGAGAGATTATTTTTAGTTTTATTTGAGAGGTTCCTCTACAAGTAATCGTAGAATACAGGTGGAAGACAATACGAAAAGGCCGTTGGAACGCAGTCAAGGGTGACCGCGAGTGCGTAACAGAGCTGACCGCTTAATAAAGATGAAAATCACAGTAATTAAGGGGTAATAATTTCGAAACTTTGAAAATCGACCGCTAAATACAGGTTGATCACTAAATACAGTGCTGCTTGATACAGCTTTGCCTGAATGAACCACAGCAGAACAGAAAAAAATTAACAAGTGCGGAGAGGTGAAGTGTGGAAGTTTTTGTAACCTCTGTTAATCGAGGTCCTATCTTCTAATCGAGAAAATACGATAATATTTTTCTTAGTGTGAAGTTCATTTTCAAAAGCATTTGTTCAACATACGGAAGGGACTTTCTTGTTACGCAGAACCTCATCATATCACATGTTTTGTGGTCAAATCGGCAATTTAGAGACCCGTTATGCTTTCTGAACACGAATCAAGGAGCCTCTGATAGATTTTCATGAAAGTTAGAATCAGAAGGTGAAACACTTACCATTCCTGTCACAGAAGCTTCGATTTAAACCACGCGCGTTTATGTCCTTGACGTTATCATATGCTGTACCGTGAAATAGGTACCACTCGTTACTGTGTTAACATCACTTCCGTGCTGATCCTCAAAACAGCCAACATCAAAGCGTGGTCCGTCGATCAGTTATCAAAAATCCAAAACGACGATCCACGAATTGTGGTAGTCACTGGCGTTATAAAAATGTTTGCTGAGATGAAAACACAACTTGTAGCCAAATCGTGACTTTTTTCTCTTAGATTGTATGCGCCATGCCCACACCAAAGTTCTTCTAAACAACTCTGTTAGAAGCGAGTTAACAATATATTTTGGCCTAATTACAGCTTGTGTTTCGAGCGTTATTGAGCTCTTCGTCAGAGCGATGACGAAAGGTTCGAAACGTTAAAACTAAATTATCATCTATTATCCCCAACTGACGCAGCACCACAGAAATGTACCCCTTTCACTTTAAAACAGCTGTGTAAGGTAAAGTAATCGCCGCGAGGGAACTCTTATAGTTTCTGTATAGAATCTGTTCAGTGTCAGAGTTTATAACTTAAAATTATCTGTTAATAGAAGTTCGTATGTTCAAATATAGCAGAGGGAATTTGATCGATCAATTAACAGAGATAATTTAGTCAGTTTTAATGCACTCAATTACTTTGTTCGATAAATTAGCAGAGATAATAAAATTAGCAGAGATAGTCAGTCAAGAGATAGTCAGATAATTAAATTAGCAGAGATAGTCAGTTTTAGTGCGCTCAAACCCGTATATTGACATGAACTTTGACTGTCCCTCGTTTCACTTTCTCTAAAGAGTGTGTTACAACATTCTTTGGCTTAGTGCCCCTGTGGTGGATGATGTGTGGTTACTAAGCACACCAGGTTTCTATTTAAAGAAACTTTCTCGGAAAAACCGGATTTATTTCTCAGAAACTTTTGCTGGCGCTTGTGCTTTGAAGCGAAAATGAAAATGGAACTTTCCCGGATGTAACGTTACGAGGGTGTAAACATTACCAGTGGAAGTTAGCGACTGCCAACCACGCACAACAGATTGATAACTCGAACATTTCGCTGTTCTCTCAAGCTTGAAAATCATGGGAGGCAAGAACAGGTAATAATACACCAGTTACATTAAATATAACTCGAAGTGCGGGTTAGATATGAGTTTTATCAGGTCTACACATATATTTGTGCTACCGGAAGCAAACCCAACCGAAGAGTAAGTTTTCTACAGCGCTTCATCCACAGCACAATTTGAAACCAAATTTTTGACTGAAATAGCAATATTTTCAATCCATCCTTTACATAAACTAGCAATAATACTCGTACTAATAAACTAGCAATAATGCTCTAATCTTATAGTTAATAAAGTAGCGACTATGCTAAAAGACATAAACATTGTGTATGTGAACCCTTGTGGTAAACATTGAATAGGGAATTTTATCATAACTAATTTACGTAGCGCGAGTAACTTCAAATGATTTAGATGACGGTCTTAACAAATTTCGACATAAAGGTTTGGTACGAAGAAATTGCATTCCTCTTTAGCCCTTGGTGAAAAGAAAATATATTAAACCAATACATTACATTGTAAACATTAGGTCCTTGCATGAGAATTCAAGATGGAGGATTCATAATTGCCGACCAATTAACCAGGTTTTCGTGCAAATCAGAGGCGTTTGAGAACACAGAGCAAGAAGCTGTACCACAAGCGGGTGTTTGAGACGGAGGAGAGACGAAAAACATTTATGCTTTCTTATTTACCATTTTAGAGTACTTTATTTCCGGCCTCCATCGAATAACTTGTGTCGTAACTAATTTTCGCTTTATCAGTGAGTTTGAATGACACAGGGATCAATATACAAGGATCCTTACTCATTCGATTTAGATAGTTTCAGTTCTATGAAGTGCCTTGCGATCGAAAATCATGAAGAACTATTTACTAATTATGTAAGATCAACTGAAGGTGTCTGACCAGCGATCATCGACATAATACCATAGTTTGCCTGCTGTATGGCTGCCTCTGCGTGCTCCCAACTGATTGTGCTCTTTGTTGTTAATTTCTAGTAAGGAAAATGAAGATGACGAGAACTCATGGTTGTCTTTTGAAGAGGGTAAGTGTATCTTTGATGGAGCAGGGGGAGAGAGAGAGGTTCTTAAGCAATACCCAAATAGTTCCTTAAAACTTAATCTTTTACCAAAGAAAATGTTTCTCTAGAGCAAAAGAAGTAGAAATGGGTATTTGCTACATAATGTGGGTACTTGCTACGTTAAATGGTTATTTGCTACGGAGTGGTTTTTGTGCAATAAAATCTTTTAATTGTGACATATAATTCAAAAAACAGGTTTAACATGTTTTCTTTCACAAGCGCAGAACTTTCCTACCGAAAAAACCAATATAAAGTAAAATATAATGATTTTCTAAAGAAAAAAGATAATTGACGTTCTCAAAATAATCTGACTTGTTAAGTCGAGTTGATACTATATGTGGGAACGCAGTTTTGTTCTAAAATTAAGATGGTGTAGAAAGTAAAATATTCCATATCCCAGAACCACTGACCTCTGCGATACTAGTGCAGCGCTCTACCAATTGAGCTAACAAGCCAACTGGGAGCAGGCCGTTAAG